CCAAGTGACTGCAACAGCCGGACTTGAGCCGATCTGAAGCCAGGAGCCTGATCTCATCCTCAACTGCTTTTCCAGGCAGGGAAAATAAGCAGGGAACTGGATGGGAGGTGGAGTATCTGGGACACAAATCAGTGCCCATATGGGATTCCAGTGCTTGCAAGGTAAGGGCTTTAGCCACTAGGCTACTGCACCAGGCCCTAGCCTCCTACTCTTATCATTCAGTCTGGACATACTTTTCAATATAGTCTGCCCCAAGGCTGCAAGAGGTGAGGATTTCTTCTGGCCCAGGCTTTCACAGCCTGCCTTGCTTTATGAGGCTAACTTCAGATGCTTCCCTCCACCCCCTGCAAGGCTTTTAAAGCAGTTCATATATTCTAAGTGTTATAATCAAGCTTTCTTACTCTCACTGCTATTGTAACTTTGGATTGGAATTCTAAGCATTTTTTTTAAATCATGAGTGACTGCCTGTGTTCTTTTTTTTTCTTAAGATTTATTTTAATTTTTTTTAATTGGGGAGGCAGATACACAGAGACAAGAAGAGACAGAGAGAAAGAGAGAAAGATTCTCCATCTGCTGGTTCACTCCCCAAATGGCGGCCGCAACAGCTGCAGCTGAGCTAATCCAAAGCCAGAAGCCAAGAGCTTCTTCCGAGTCTCCCACGTGGGTGCAGGGTCCCATGACCTTGGGCCGTCCTCAACTGCTTTCCCAGGCCACCAGCAGGGAGCTGGATGGGAAGTGGAGCAACCAGGACACAAACTGGTGCCCATATGAGATCCTGGTGGATGCAAGACAAGGATTTAGCCACTAGGCTGCTATGCAGAGCCCGCCCTGTGCTTTTGAGTATGTTTAGCAGCACCTCAGGATCTGGCTGCATACTCTCCCAGCTGTGATTAAAAAAAAAAGTCTCCAGACATTGTCCAATTTCCTAAGGATAACAGTCTTCCTGGTTATAAACCACTTGAAATAACCAATATTTGACCCTGCCTTGTGTCTCCTTCTAACCCACCATTGATGAGTCTTAGTAAATGATGCTGCTGTATGCTAGGGTGGGAGATATTACAGCATGGTTCATCTACAGCAGTGCAGTCCATGGCTTTGTCCAAAAATGAGTGTTCTAGTTCTTGAATGCCTTCCTTGCAGATCTGCCTGCTAGGGACACCCTTGATGTCCACTGTCTTGGCCTGAGCTCTCCTCTGAATACAGAACCCAAGGCAAAGGTTTATGTGTTCACAGTTTATTTAAGAACTGGTCTGAGGAAATGAGATTGACTGGGGAAGAGTAAAGCATGGAAGATGAGAAACCAATTCAAAAGTGTAGCACAGGTTGCTTACCAAGCTGGTGGAATGGATCTTGCAAATGCCTACAGGTCAAAAGGAGGGACCACTTATGCATGCCTTGATTCCTGTCCCCTCTGGTCTTGGTAACCACAATCAGGTGCAGCTTTCCACACTTCCATGTGTGAGTTCCAGACAGGTATCTGTAGTGTTCCATGCCTAGTGTGAGAGAAGCCGAGAATACAACATGGCAACTAAGCCATGCAACCAAGGCAGAACACCTTGAACAAGGATAAACAGCACTTGCAGAGAGCGACAACAAGGATAGTGCGCTGTGGTACGCCCAGTCATCACACTCACACTTGGCTGGCAAGGCTACTCGTGAACACGAGGCAGGCAGTACTCTGTTCACCTCACCTCCTAGGTTCCATGCCTGCCTCCGCTTGCTCCAGCCAAGCAGGTCTGAGGTCCACACTGTGGGGCAGGAGGATGGCAGACTGCCTCCTGGCACTCCAACCATCTGGCCCAGACACTTGCCCCTCAGAATAATCAACCCGGGGTGGATGAGGGTGTGAGTGGAAGAATGAGTTTGGAAAGTCCAGCCCGGATCGTCTCATGCTTGGGCTTAGAAATTCTTTGATATCAAATGGCTTAGATTACATGAGGAATATAATGGGAGTCAGAGCATCACCTGAGACCTGATCTTTAGAAAGGTCCCTCTGCTGGCCAAGCTGGGGAATCCAGGGGAGGGAGCAAGCATGGAAGTAGAGGCAGCAAGAGACTTCTGCAGGTGTCCAAGCTGAGGTAATGGTGGTGACCAAGAAATAGATGGATTCCCTCACTGTAGGAGAAAAAACCCTCCCCTTGCCCAGAGTCCTGCCAACCAAAAGCAAGAGGCCTCCAAGATGAAGCCTTCCCCTACAGAAATACTTCTGGCTCCCCTAGCCCCACTGCCTCTGGGCCAATAAGCATGGTTAGACATCAGCACAGCCTGGGTGGGGATGCAGTTTCTGACGTTCTGGGGAAGAGGAAGCACCCGGGAGCCATCACAGGTCCTGTGTTCTGGCTGGAGCAAGGGTAACCTGTGGGAGAACTGATTAACCTTGGGGCATTCTCTTATGACTCAGTGACAGGATCTGAGCAAGGATGAATGAAGCCTTCTTTGCTTCTGAGATAACTCTTTGAAACGTGGCATACGGAAATGGAGGTGAAGAGGCCATGTCTTTCTTGGAAGAATCTAGAAGGACAGAGGCTCAAGGACATAAGATGATTGGGTTGTGGTTACCAGTTATCACAGACAACCAGAAAATACAAGCTCAAGGGAAGTCCAGAGCACGGCCCCTTCACCGTGGCAGCACAACAGGGCTCCCGTGTCAACAGGCGTGGGAGGATTCCAGAACAGCAAAGGTCAGAGTGTGAATTCCACAGATTGGACATATCACCACACAGAACAAAGATGGGAGAGCCTTTGGATCCACATTGTGATTGTGGCGATGGCTAATGGGACACTCCTGATGTCTGCAGGAGCTAAGTAAGTCAGTGGGCGTTACTGTGATGCTAGAACAGCCGCACTGCCAAAATCAGAATCTAGAGTGCAGAAGGCAGAGGACAGCTGCTACGGTGGAAATGATTGTTTCCTCAGGGATGTCTCAGCTCTTGGCCCGTTCTCGGAGCCTGGTGATTTCAAGGAAGGCAAACTCTCTGAAACCAACTCCCAGTGCTGCCAGAGGTGTATGTGAAAATTATTTCCCCACTAGGGCTGGGTTTTTTTGGATGGAGAAAGGAAAAGAACCAGATGTGCCAGGGGCTGTTGGGCATGGAGTACAAACTGGGATCAATGCCGACAAATGGCAAGCACCATGCTGAGTCCCCGGCGAAGTCAAGGGCTTTTACAAGCCAGGTGACATGTGGGGTTCTTGTGCAAACCGGCCCAGTGAGCCTGAAGATCCACAATGGAAGGCTTACCTGGTCCCTAAGCGAGTAACTGCAGTCGACCCACTCAGCAGCTGGCAGTCCAAGCAAGAGTTGGTATGGTAGGAAAGGCCAAATGGAGAAGGTTCTGGTACTTAGTCTACCTTTCTGACCAGTAGAAGCACAGATGGTCACAACATCAAAGACCTGCTTCTTGATAGCTCGAGAAAGGAGTGAGGGATGGTTCAGTGGGCCCCTGCACCTGCATGAGAGACCTGGAAGAAACACTTGGTTCCCAGGTTCAGATTGGCTCAGTTCTGGCCTTTGTGGCTCTCTGGGGAGTGAACCAGTGGATGTTTGCCTTTCCTTCTCTCTATGACTGTGCCATTCAAGTAATAAAAAAAAAATTAAATTTACAATTTATGCAAAAATTATTGATGAACACAATATGAAACAGGACCAAAGCTGGTATTTGTTCCTGTAGCCTCAAACTCTAGTTGGAGCCCCTGGTTTAGCATGGTTACTAATCAAGGAGTAGCTCAATTCTCCAGTCTTACACTGATTTTGCCTAGTTTCCTGTTCTCTATTTAAAATAACCCACCTCACACATGCGCTGGTCTCAAGCTTAACTTTATTATTCGGGGTGGAGGCAGAGGGATAAAATGCAAGCTCAGTCAGCGATGGTAAGATGTTCAAATAGAGTACTTGCGGACGTAAAGATAATTTGTTAATAATAAAGATAATTTCGTCGGATTAATAGGCATAAAGCAAAGCGTTCTGGAACATCAGGACAAGGTGGTCTCGCTTTAGGTGAAGAATCTAAGGCTCCAAGGCTGTGGGAAGCCAAATTAATTAAGAGCCGCGGTCAGACTGGAAGGCTCAGCAGGAAAGCACAGACGCCCCTCTGCGTTTTCATCCGGGAAGCTCTCTCTAGTGAAGAGCTCCAAAGTGGTGTCGGGGCCACCTGCCGCGGGCCCCAGGCAAGCTTGGGTCTGGGACACGGAGGGGGAGGTTTCAGGGGAGGGGGAGAAGTGGGCTGAGGTCTCTGCCAGATCCTAGCTTCAAGTGGGGCGTTCTCCTCCTCCCTCTGTTCCTGCACTGGGGGCAGGCCTTTTTGTCAACCGAGAACTGCCGGTCCAAGACAACTTGGCGGCCTGCCCGGATCTAACGCCCCGGGGGCCGTGCGGAGAGGAGCCGGGGCTTCGCACTCAGAAGTCTGGTGTGGCGGCAGCAGCTCTCCCCAACACCCCGCGGTCTTGCAGGAGGCCAGGCTTGATGTGCAAGGTTTCCCTCAGGGCGAGCAGGCAGCCCCTGTCAGAGGCCCCAGGCGCCTCAGACGCAGCGTGACTTTGCTCATTTCTGCCAGGCTCGGGGCCCGCGTCCTCTTTCCAAGGTGAGGCTCAGGCTGTCCCGAGGCCTCCCGGGTCGGTGAGTTAGCTAGCGCCTCGTAGGGTTGAGGCTGCCCGCAGCGAGGAGTTTCCTGGGCGCCCGGGGACTCCACCGCGGCCCACCGTGCCCTCGGTGCTCCAACTCGGGGGCCGGCACGTCGCAGAATCCGCGGCCCCTGGGCTGGGGCCTCTCCGAGACGGCGCTCGTCCGCCCCTGCTCCTCCCCTGCGCCCGCCCTCCCACGTGGGCCTGGGCCCGGCCGAGTCGCCTCTGCGGGGCTCGCCGGGGACGAGCGGGCGTCGGAAGCCGAGTGGCCCCTTCGGCGGAGCGGGGCTCGGGGCCGGAGCTGCGAGCCCGACCGCGCCCCGCCGCCGGCCCGGGGGTGTGGCCCGCGCGCCCTCTGGAGCATTCTCCGCGTCACTCACTTTGCCGAAGCCGACAAGTCCCCTCACATGCTCCGTCTCCCGGGAACGTTCTGACCTCAGGAGACGCCTTGCGGCCCCGACACCCCTGCCCCAGGACGCTGTGTCACCCACGACGGGAAGCATGCGGGACTACGAGGAGGTGACCGCCTTCCTGGGCGAGTGGGGGCCCTTCCAGCGCCTCATCTTTTTCCTGCTCAGCGCCAGCATCATCCCCAACGGCTTCAACGGGATGTCAGTGGTGTTCTTGGCGGGGACCCCGGAGCACCACTGCCGGGTGCCCGACTCGGCGAACCTGAGCAGCGCGTGGCGCAACCACAGCGTCCCGCTGCTGCTGCAGAACGGCCGCGAGGTGCCCCACAGCTGTCGCCGCTACCGGCTCGCCGCCATTGCCAACTTCTCGGCGCTGGGGCTGGAGCCTGGGCGCGACGTGGACCTGGAGCAGCTGGAGCAGGAGGGCTGCCTGGATGGCTGGGAGTACAGCCAGGACGTGTACCTGTCCACCATCGTGACCGAGGTGAGTACCACGTCCCGCCCCGGGGGTCTGAGGCGCAGAGACATCCCCCGCCTCACCGTCCCCGTCCCCAGGCTGGTATCATAGGATTCTACAGGTGCACAGGTTCCCAGAGATCTCGTGGCAGGGCCTGGAGTCAGCAGAGCGCCCTCCTCCTCACCCCTGCCTGGTGTGAGACTGGATTGTACTTCTGGGGACAGCGAGCAGGACACCCTCCCACGAGTCTCATTCTCACCCCTCCCATCGTTTCTGTCCAGTAGAAGCGATGGAGAGAACGTGGTCGCCAACTGTTCTTTTCCTTTCTGAGTTTCACAACAGATGGAGGTATTTCCTAAGAGCCTATGGTGCTGTGCTGGCCACAGGCTGCCTAAGATTCACAACCTGAGTCACCTTCCTTCCCCGGACTGGGAGGAGGGGTGTGGGGAACTCTACTGTACCCAGGTGCCCAGAGATGGGAGCTAGACTTTCTCCAAAAGCCACCGGGGGGGGGGGGGGGGGCGGAGAAGGGCTCCTGGTTGCATGGGGAGAACTGGAGGAGGCTCTGAACACTCCACTAACTGGGGGACAGGGGCTCCCCACTGTGCAGCCAGCCCCTTGGCATCCTGGCAGTTTCCTGAGTTGCCAGAGTCAGAATTCCTCCTGACACCTGGTGAGGGCCAGGAGCACGCTGGCTGTGTTCCAGAGAGGACTACTTCAACCCTGGGGAGAGCGATGGGATGCTGGCCACTGACTGCAAATCCTGGTACGTGTCCTGTATGACCCAGGATGTATAAACCACCTCTCTGTGGAATAGCAAGATGAGGAAACACTCCACCAAGGGATGTCAACGTGTAAGCTAGGTTTGGAAATAGGCATTAAATCCATCCAGGCACAGAGCAACGTGAGGTCCAGAATGGAACTGCCCCAGGTTAGGGTGGTTGGAGCCAGGGGGTACCAGCTAGGACCCTTCCAGCGGCTGGCTCCCAGTGGGCCATGCAGTTACAGTGAGGTGATGAGGACAGTGAGACCTGATTTGTGCCTTTCAAAGGAGTGTACTGTAGCTGCTGTGACAAGAAACAAGAACAGGGAGGCCGCTTGGGAGTGCCTTCTGCCAGAGCATGGTGGCAGCTAGCGGGGGCAGCTATGGGATCTCCAGGACCTCTAGAAAAGCAGGCTGAGCCCATGGGCCACCTTGGATATCCCCCGTGATAGCACCTGCCTTCTTTGGTGACCGTGTCTCTCTGGTTTTGATTTCCTAAGTGGGGGCTCTGGGTGCTCGTCCACTCGTGCAGCCCTGGAGGTCAGAAGCTCATCCCATCCACTCCCGCAGCATCTGCTGGGGAGGCAGGGCGCAGTGGCCACAGCCCTCCCTGTCAGCAGGGCTGACCTGCCTGTTTGCCACTTCCTTGCTGGTTTGGTGGATCTAAGGGTGTAAGAATAGGGATCTACTAGTCCTGAGTCCTTAGCTTGTAGCTTAGCTTTGGTTACCTGCTGTGATCTGTTCACATACACAGGCACCAGGATTAGGTTTCTTCAGTAGCCTTTCCCGTTCTTGCTTCCTTTATTGGGGATGGGCGGCAACAGCAGAATAAAATGCTCAGTTGGGCACTGGTAGCTGGGGAGGAGGAGTGAGGGAAGCAAGCCTGAGGGGAAGTGTGCAAGAGTTCTGGCGTCAGGCTGGCTGGAGTGCCAGTCTCACAGCACTGCCAAGCGCCTGGCTAACTTCGGGCAGTTTACCTTGGGTAGTGCTTGTTTCTGTACGTGTGAAGTGTGGCTCTAAGGTGCTTACCAAAAGTAACCATTAAGAAAATGCAAATCAAAGTCACAGTGAGATACTGCCTAGAGGCCACAGGAGGGCTAATACCAACAGCAGAAGAAAGAAAGGGAGGCAGGGGGAAAAGCAAGGCAGGGGGCGATGGTGGGAGTTGGTGAGGAAGTGGGGGCATTGGAGCCCTTGTCCGTTGCAGGTGGGGTGTCACATGATCGCAGCACTGTAGAAGCCAATTCAGCTGTCCCTCAAAACACCACACTTCTAAAGGTTTGTGGAAAATTCATATTATGAAAACACTGCATGGATTTCAAAACATTTTTTTGTGCCAAAACAGACTTATCTTTCACATCCACTTTTCCATGAGCCTTTTGAAATGCTCTCATATTTATAAGATAATTGAAAACAGATTCTCAAAGAAATATTTGTATCCTCATGAGTCATACTAAACAAGACATAAAAACAATGCTAACAGTGTTTGAATAGATTTTAAAAAAATGTGCTCTCAGGACTGGCGCCATGGCATAGCACGCTAAGCCTCAGCCCACGGTGCCAGCATTCCATATGGGCACCAATTTGTGACCTGGCTGCTTCTCTTTCAGTCCAGCTCTCTACTAGTGACCTGGGGAAGCAGTGGAGGCTGGTGCAAGGCCTTGGGCCCTGCACTCATGTGGGAGACCCGGAGGAAGCTCCAGGCTTTCAGATAAGCCCAACTCCCACCATTGCAACCATTTGGGAAGTAATCCAGTGGATGGAAGATCTTTCTTTATCTGTCTTTCCTTCTCTTGGTAACTCTGCCTTTCACAAATAGATATTAATGAATCTTTTTAAAAGGAAAAAAAAATGTTATGATTGAGGTTTGCAAAGGCAAGAAGAGCTGATACAGGCTACAATGTGTATGAACTTGAAACCATAATGCTTAGTGAGCTCAGCCAGGCACTGAAAGACAAATACTGTGTGATTTCATGATGTAGACAGTGAAGGGGGGTCCCACTCACAGGAGCTGACAGAGGCTGGGGAAGCGCCAGGACGGAAGGGTATTGTCTAGCAGATCCTGTGTTTTAGTTTTGTAAGACACAGAGAATGTTAGAGATGGCACAATGTGAACTCTATGAGCAGATAACATGGTAAATTTCCGGTTGCATGCATTTTATCACACTCTTTAAAATAAAGGATAATAAGTTGCCCATCTCATCTGAATTGGAGGGGGGCAGAATGGAGAGACTCGAAGAGTCTGTGCCCCAGGCTATATCCCTTGATGGCATACACAAAGTCAGGCACCAGCAAATGAACTGCTGGCTTTGGCCCCAAGCTTGTCTGTTCTGCCCATCAAACACCATTAGGTAGCCTTAACTCACTTGGCTCAAGGGAGCGGGAAACTGAGAAAGACATCTCTGAGCTGGTCACTACTCCTCCTGGACGCTAGATGCCCTGTCGGCTATGTGTGCTAAGCTGTGTGTTGGTGGCCACCAGTGGTGTGGGTTGGGTGTACCTGGTACCTTGTTTAGTTTTGTAGCTGACTGCATCCTCTAGAAGACCCAGAGTGGAGCTGCTGGTGGCTACCGACTCAAGTGTGAGAGGACCCAGGCATGGGCTCCTGGACACACTGGCTGAGCTACCTCTCTGGGACCTGGGTCAGAGTGTGAACAGCAGCCCCACTGGTTCTCCACCCACAGCCCAGAAGGGAGACCTGGGCAGAGAGGAACAAGGAGATCCAATCTCTTGTTAACAGAGAGCTTCAAGACGGCACTGGGGGTAGCAAGAAATAGTGAGATCGACTAAGCCTGTCATGTCTCTGGCACCTGTGTGGGACTTGCTACAGGAACCCAGAAGGATGTCCTTGCTCTAGCTAGGCAGCTCTAATAGAGGGGAACAGCTTGAGTGGCAAGCAGGTGGGTGGCGTTTCCTATTCCTCCAGTGTGCATACCGCCCCAACACTGCCGGCTGGCATGGAAACTGGCACGTTGGCTGTCATGACAACATTAATATTAACCGAATTGCCTCACCAGATCCACACTTAGATGTGCCCTTTGGCAGGCACCAAAATCAGGCTTCAGAAAGCATATTTGGCAGAAATACAATTGGAGGAGACTAGGGGCTGTCCCCAGTCCTGGTCCCAGAGTGCTTCCCTCTGATTATCAGAGGCCTTGCCCCACACTGTTTGTTGCTTCTCTACAATGTTTCTCTAACAACCAACACTAGGACCTCAGAATGTGGCTTTCTTTGCTCAGAGGTTGCTTTATTTGCACCTCCTGCCAACTTTCTGGATAAACAGACTGCCCATCCCTCCTGGTGAACAGCAGAATATTCAGACTCCCGGGTAGAGTTTGAGCAATAAAAAGGGAGGGGGTGGAGCATGGCAAGCTGCTCAAGAGGAGCTGCAGGTGCATCAACCCCCCTACCCCACCCCATCTTGTGACAAGCTACATCTGATTTATGTTTAAGGCTCAGGCAGCTGTCCTCTAAAGTCCTGGTGTGGTTTGGTTTTATTTCGTTTTACTGATGTTGTTCATTTTAATTTTGTTTGAGAGGCTGACAAAGATAGCTCCCCTCCTCTGGTTCACTCCTCAAAGATGCTTGACAAAAACTATGAGGCCAGAACTTGATCCAGGACTCCTTTGTGGGTGCTAGGAACTCAGTCACTTGAGCCATCGGCACTGCCTTCTAGAGCATGCAACAACAGTGAGCTAGAGTCAGAGTTGGTGTCAGGATATCCACAACTATTATTTTTCTTCTATTATTTATTTGAAAGACAGTTACAGCCAAAGAGAGAAATCTTCCACCTGCTGGGTCACTCCCCAAATAGGTACAATGGTTGGGACTGGGCTAGCCAGGAACTTAGTCTGAGTATCCCAAGTGGGTAGCAGGGAGAGTCCAAAGCACCTGTGGGTTCTGATACTTTCCCTACAGGAATTGATCACGGATCCCCTGGAAAGCTCTTGCAAACATTGGACACCACTGATGAGGACAGCTAATCTATCAGAAAAGAAAAACATACAGAGAGGTAGCTAAGTCCAGCCCTTCCAGAGTCAGAACAAACCACAAGGGCTTGCCTCAGAAGCAACTGCAAGGGATTTTGCCTTCACCTGGGGCAGAATGTGGGACAACTCATGAACCAGGAAATTGCCCAAAAGAGCAAACCAATCATGCAGCAAAGAGTAGGGGCTTAACAGCTGGATGTGATGCTAGCAGAAGCTGACAGCCTAATGGAAAAACAGGGGGATAGAGAATGCTCATGTTACCTCAGATGCCCCCT